GAAGTTGAGCGACTGCAGCTGTTTTTTTGCAAGAGGTCTAACGGGAAAGAATCCCTGGAAGTCAAAGGAGGAAGAAGAAAAGTGGGTTAAAAAGAAGAGTGGGAGGAACATGATGCTGTCAAAGGCAATTTGAGAATGGCTGGGAGGTTTAGGGATGTCTGTGCAAGCAGTGCAGTGATGGCACAAGCCAGGGGAGCTGCTGGGGCAGAAACATCTATGAGAACAATGGACCAAACCAACCCTTGTGCCAGCACGCTTCTAGAAACATGTGGGCCCCTGCAAAGCCCGAGACAGCCACTGTGAAATTAAGACATGATGTAGGAACAAGCCCAGCCAAAAAGACCCTAAGCCCTGTTGGGTGCAGACACTTACCAGCAGTGCCCCGGGGAGGCTGCTTGAGCAGCATGTGCATTGAAGGCAATGGCAGCCCTGAGCCACAGGGACTACTTTGAGGTTGGGGCATGTTGTCTTTCCTCTCTGGAGCAAGCCTCCACCCTCTGTGCTTGTCACAATAACTAACACACAGGAGATGCAACAGATCCCTCCCCAGCCCTTAGGAAAGTGATGTGGAAGGTCTGGCATGACCTTGTCATTGCTCCTCTGCTGCCACGACATTGCCAGCCGGGGAGAGCTGGTTCTCAGCGGTACGTGGGGATGTACATCCATGGTGTGGAGACAGCCAGGGTGTGGGTGGGCATCCCGAAGAGAGGTAAGCAAACACTGGGGATTTAAGCAGTGGCCCTGTTAACACAGGCAAACCATCAAAGGCCCCTGGAAGGAAGGCTATCAGAGAAGAACTCTGGGGAGTTTATTTTGCAAAGTGTGAATAAAACCAGGGAGGTACAGAGACCCCAGGGCAAAGAAGGGGAATCATCCTGCTGCTCCGGGGGAGCCAGACTCAGCTCCAGCACAGGCACAGCCCTTCCAGGCAGGCAGGGCACTTTGTGCTCTTCCTGAGGAAGGTGTGTTTCCCTCCGCCATCGATATTTCCCTGCCACAAGCTCCCCTTTCCTGGCTGACCCCTGGGGCGGTTTCACCAGGCCTGGGACAGGGACCTCTCCTCTCCCAGTACGTGGGATTAACTACAAAGATCCTCTGCGTGAACACAGAGAAGAGTAAAGTCTCTCCCTCCCTCTGTAAGGATTTCCCCAGAAGAGTGATTCCCCATGGGCCCCTGTACCGTGTAATGCCCTGTTTCCTGTCCCATGGCTGTGAGTTTGGTAGGAAGGAAAAATTATGCGTATTGATAACCCAGAGGTATCAAGGTAAGCCACACTGCTGTGTGCAAAACAGAGATGTCAAAGGGTTTGCAGCCAATATTTCTGCCTTGCCTAGCCCTTCTTGCTCCCAAAGATCCTAAAAGGTGGCCTAGATTCCTTGGAGGAAAGATCGAGGGTATGCACCTCACTCAGCGTGGGGTTGTCTACCCTCTCCCAAAATTTCTGCTGTGGCAAGAAAAACTGTGTATCAGCAAATAAAGAAAAAATGAACCCAAGTGTTCAAATTGTACATTCAGGAGTATTTTTACCCAGAAGACCTCCATCCTGCCTAGTACAGATCCCGTGCTAATTTTGTTCAGCTTTGTGCTTATGGTCATTGCAGCTGAGCCTTTCTGGGGTTCATCCCAGAGCTCTTCAGGGAGCTCTGGGTCCCTGGGCTCTGAAGGTGGAGACAAAGGCCCACCTCTGCTCCTGAGCAGCATCTGCAGAGGCCTGGGGATGTGCAGGCACAGACACCTCACTGTGTCCCCTTTTGCATCTCAGCCTTTGTGACCAAAGGAGCTCGGTCCCGTCCTGCCACGTTACTCTGTGGCTCTCAGGCTCCGGGACTGGGCTCTACCTCTGCTGGCCGGAGTTTCTGGTCGAGTCCCAGCTGGCTCAGGCCCAAGCAGAAGTAGGAGGAACCGCTGTCGAGTGAAAAGTGCTCATCATGTGATTGATGACCCTTAATAGAGCCAGCCCCTTCCCTCCCCTGCTGGCCCCACTCCCAGCGAGGACCACGGCGTACCCGCTGCCACTGCACACATGGGAATGGAGAGCTGTTGCCCATTCAGGGATTAACCTGCTGCTCAGTCCCTGGAAAGTGTCTGCGGCCAACAGAGCTCTGGTCCAGCCCATCTCATGCCTTTTAAAAGCAGAGGTAGCCAGTTCATCAATATATAACATCACGTGGTGGCCAACCAACCACCGCAGCCCTAATTGCCCCGGCAGCACCAGCCCCTTTGTGCTGCCCGTCTGGCTCCAGCTTTTGTTCCCAGGCAGGTCTGCAGCAGCAGTGCTGGATGCCTGGGCCTCTCCGCCGTGCAGCACGCTGCACCTTCGCCAGGCTGCCATTGTGTGTGGCTGCTGGGCACACACGGCAGGCTGGCACATAGAAGGACGGCATCGCAACCTGCAGCTCCTTCCCTCCTTCCCTGGCCAGCAGCTGTCAGTGAGGCACCCTCCCAGTGGTAACCCAGCAGCTCCATCCCCTTTACCCTCTTTTTTCCCTAGCTGAGTTGTCCCTTATGTGCCTGGACCTTCCTGCAGGCTGTTTCATAGGGCTTGCCATGGGGTTCAAAGGGTGTGAGACCCCAGTGGTGGATCCTGCCTTCAGACTTCTTGCCATGGAGCTCCAATGACCCAGCTGGTCCCCAGGAAGGTCAGGGGGATTCTAGCTGGTGCTGGTGAGCTTGCTTTCTTAGCCAGCCTCCCCTCTGCCTGTCCTTGCCTCCTGAGTGTGCAGCCAGTTGCCTCCTCTTCACCCATGGACAAGGGTGCCTGCAGCCCCAGGTGACCCAGGGGTGGTCCCATGGTGGCAGCCATGTGGGATGCCCCAGAGTCCCTCCCTGGCCTGCCCAGGGACCAGGGCTGGGAGCCTGCAGTGCTCTGCCCAGGGAGGACTCGCTAATGGAGCAGGAGTCATTTGGCTTTGTTTTCCCAGCCCCACACAAGTGGCTCCTGCAAGACAGTGGCATCCCTGGGAGCCCCTGGCTGTGCCTGCCTAGGTCCCCCTGCCCGGGTGCTGCTCACCAGGTCCTAGACAGAGGGACATGGATGGGACCGCCCTCAGAAGAAACAGGGCACAAAGGGGCAGCTCAGCCCTGCACTGACTGCACAGAGCTAACACAAAGCCTCATCTCCTTTTTCCAGTGGGGAAATGGCTGCAGCCCCATTAAATGGTGGGTGACTGTAAGGGCCAGACCAACAAGTGGAGACCCAAAACCCACTGATCTGAACAGGAGAACCTGCATGGCTTTGCTGAAGCTTGGTGCACCTCTGATGCCTCTCAACCAGTGCTGTCGGCTGCTCCCCACCCCAAACACTGCTGCAGCACTGCTGGCATTTAGAGGCCTTGGCTCAGTGACCCTGTTACGGGTCTGGAGCAGATGAAGGGAGCAGGGAAGGAGGGGAAGGGGTGCTCGGGCTCCTACTTGCAAAGAAAGGCAAGGCTGGGATCAGCCCCAGGCTCTTGGCCTTGGCTGATGCGTTGTGTTTTAAATGGGTGACCAGAGTTCAGCACATCAGATGTTGTTGCAAAGGAGCTGAGTTTCTATTGAGTGTGAAAGGGCGTTGGTTTTAATTTATGGGTTTTAAATGATGGGCCAAGAAAAAGTCTGGCTTGTGCCAAAGTGTCTCTCTCCTCTAGATTGCTGGTGCTTGTACAAACATTGTAAAAATGCCAGCGATCTCGCTAAAGTAACATTACTTCTAATAATTAGGTTATCATCACAGACTTCTGTCGCGTTACAAACGAGACGCCTCTGCCAGAGTCACGGAGAAGAAAAGTGAATTTATTTACAAGAAGATTCCCCCTCGCACATGCTCCTCCTCCTCCCCCACTGGAAACCAAGTCTGCAAACCCCCTCTCTCTGCAATATGAAAATAATTCAGGGCAGTGTGCCTCAGTAACACCGTGTTTGTGGTCAGGGTTCCTCTGAAACCCCCTTCTTCCTCAGATCTGGGGAAGGGCTATCTATAAACAGCCTTTTCTTTCTTAACAGATTTAATGAAGGACTAATAGTGTAAGTCAGAGCAGACGCTGTTTGAAGAACAGCCTACAGAGCACGAAGGTGGGAAACACTTGGGAAAAGCACATTGGGTTACACCAGGGACAGCCCTGCAGAAATGGTGCCTTGCCATTTTGCAGGTAGAAGCAGGTGATGCAAAATACGTCGTGTTTTCAAGAACACACAAAAAAACCTACGTGGACAATTTCAGCCGTGGGTACATTGGTTACAGAAAGTTTTGGAGATACAAACATATATATATATATATAAAATTATGGAATATTATAGAAGTATAATTCACGAGTGGTGTTTAGCCTTACTTTTTGCATTGTTTCTATGTTTTGTTTACTCCTGGATGGAGCTTCTAAGAAACAATTTGTGCAAAAACTTCCATAGAAAACAATTTTAGGGCTCAAAATGGTTAAAATATGTCTCCGAACAAAGTAGTTTATTCTGCTCTGTTTTGTTTACAGATCTACAACACATATATCCAAATTTGCTTGGGTAAAAGTGAAATTTAACAAAAGATACACTTCTCAACGTAGCACGACATTGTTAAAATTGCACAGAGGGGAAAATAAAACCCTAGGTAATATTTTGAATCGTTACTGTCCAGCCAAACACAAATACCAGAAGGCGAGGAAGAAAGCAGGGAGGAGAAAGAAAAGAAGAAGAAAAGAAAGAAAGGAAACTTGTCTGTGTTGCCCAGAATCGGAGGAGTTAAAATCTCTCTCACAATAGGAATGCCAGGTCCTGTCATTAGAGGATGGAGTAGGAGCCGCAGCGTTTGTCAAACCGGGAACTGGCGCGTCGGACGGGTCGGTGGGGAACACAGAAGTTCGGATCAATCTTTAATTTGACACTTTTAGAAAGAGATAAGAATAGTCTTCTCGGAGCGACGTGTACCGTCAGGAAGAGACTTTAATGACAACGTTTACAAAAGAAGTATCTCTGTAAATCCAGCGAGGGATTCAACACAGCTGCGTAACTAGAGAGGAGGAAACACGAGGGTTCAGAGCATCGTTCCTTTTTTTTCCTTTTTTTTTTTTCTCCTTTCTGTTTTTTTTCTCCTCTGCAGGTTCACTGACTGTGAGGCTGATGTTCTCAGGACAGGAATGGAGTTCAGTAATGTCCCTTCTGCAAAACCAAAAACCCAGAGCAGAAGGTCGTTTAAGCAGACAGACAGCACACAGCAACGTTCAAACCTAGGAGTTCTGGCCACAGCCTAGAAAAAAGATCTTATGTAGGAGTATAACTTTAATCATGTATGTCTCGGCGGCTCCCCTTCGGCTGTACGGATCTGATTGTCAATTTTCTTTCAAAGTTTATTTTTATGAAAAACAAGAGGAAAAGCTCGGGCTTCCAAAGATGTCTAAAAAATTGATTTATGGTTAGTATAAAGACAACAGTATAAATAACAAAGGAGGCGGCAGCTGCTGCGCGGATTGCTATGGAGACCCTAATGAAATTAGCACTATCAGAGGGTTTCTAATTTTTTTGCGTTCTAAGCGTCTAATTTCTTTCCTATTTCAGATAGTCAGAGTGTAATTTAAAAAAAAAAAAAAAAGAAATAAAAATAAAAGAAGGAAAAGAAAATAGCCCACCGAAATAATAATTTGTGCGATAGATACCCAGTCAATAAATAAATGTTAACCTCACCGAGGTTTTTGTACGCAGGATTTGATCTGAAACGAGATGGCCAAGCGCCCCACTTTGCAGATCGCCTCCTCAAAGCGGCTGCGCCCCCAAGTAAAGGTGGCCTCACCCGGCCGAGCCAGCTGCCGGCCAAGCCACCGAGGCGCTCGAGTGGGGCCAGCCGCTTAGAAATAAATACTTTAAAAATACTTTCGGGCTTTTTTTTTTT